GTGGAGACTTTGGGTCCCTTTAGGACAATCGGGGGCTCGTTTTGAGCAGGGGTAAGGTTTGGAGCTACTGTGGGGTTGCTGCCACCATTGGTTCGTCCCGCTATCATAGCTTCGAGACGTTCCTCAGCTTGGCGGCCTCTAACTTCGGCTTGTTCGCGTAACAGGCGCTCTTCAGCTAATGAGTTTTGAAGATTAGTAAGCTGTCTTTGTATTTCTTCCATTCTGTCGGGATCTAGTTCAATCGATAGTGAGTGATTGAGAGGATCTGATGGTTCTTGTATTGAACGGTTTACGCTGATGTACGAGTCGTTTGATTCGACGTCGTCGTCGGTGGGGGTTCTGTACGAGGGAGACGTGGTAGTTGATCTGCCGGGTGTTAGAGCGGGAGGTCGGAAGATCTCGGTCGATCCGGGAGTTCAAATCTGGGGTATTAAAGTTTCACTTCGTTTCTATTCTTAAAGTCTTGAGCTTATCTATTCTAAATTTCTCAGTATATCTATTCTAAGGTTCTGGCTTTATCTATTCCTTCGACGTGAGTGTGAATTAATTTTGAGTTCTAATTCAAAGTCTTCTGATTCTGATTGAGGCTGATTTCTGTAACGCTCGTCGGTGGTAGATCCGACAATATGTTAGGACTGGTGTTGGGGTTTGTGGGACGAGGGTTATCAGGTTCTGTCACCAGGTTCTCGTATTAGTATGCAGATTGTCGGATGAAGAGAAAAGAGAGGTGTGTACAACGTAGAGAAATACAAAGTGGTCTCTAATCTGTGACATGTTGTGTTGAGCCTTTCACCAACTGTTACATAGATGAGATCATAACACCAATCTGAGGTCAATATGTTGGCAGTGATGATCATTTTCTAGATTTTTTACCTCAAAAAGCCTCAATAGCTTTGTTGACCACCCTTTGTGGTGTTGTGTTGCTCACAATGGAGTCATAACCACAACACAACAGGGTGAAAATTTACACCCCCCCAGCAACACACCAGGCAATGGTCTGATCCGGTGTGTTGTGTTGCTTTGCAGATTTTTTCTTGTTGCTTGGCATTGCTCAAAATTGCTTGCTCAGAGCAACAAGCTGGCCCAAATTTGGCAAATAGTGCTTATAATAGGCACTGTTTGTTTAGGCTAGCTCCTAGTAATTCAATCTTATCTGTTGGAAAGAGAAAATCCCTGAGAGCATTACACTGCAAAGATAATATATTTTTCCATGGTGCAAAATGATTGCATTTATTTTAAAATGATTGACAAAAAACCGTTTCTCAAATTTAGGGCCCAGTTTTAGCCCAAAATTCTTGGAAAACAGATTGCAGAGAGATACAATGCTGTTTGTCCTTGAACGTTTTTTTCAAGTTGCTTATAAGGTACACTGTGTCCAGATCCATTTGCATGGTAGTGGGAGTTTCAGATCAATCTGACCATCTATTTTCATAACTAGAGACTATGTGGGCGTGGCTGCAGTAGGCCAATTTCAAATTCACTCAAATATCCGCAGGGTGCGGTTCACAAAGCAACATGCATTGATTGTTGAATGCTATTATACAAACTGCACTGAATTGTACTTATACCCTTACACCAAATTTCAACACCTATCTTTGGCCTAGTTTCAGGGTGCTTCTACTAAATTCAAGAATCTCCACTCAGCTAGTATTGTGAATGCACAAGAAATGTTAAGTTGTCATTGTTGAAAGTAGCCAAAAAAGTTATGTTCATACCTAATGCATATACTGTGGGAACCGGATTACAACCCATGTACTAACAATCTTCAAAAGACAATGTAAGAAAGTTCACTGTTCTGGACAATGAATCATCCCACATGAGTTCTGCATGTAAATTGTCTGCTGAAATTAAAGATACTCATGAGGGAAAGAGTTCAGAAGCATAATTATCTGGGTCCAATCATGACTGTTATATCTTCAGGTGATGTAATTGTAATGTAAAAGCTGTACAGTCAAGCCCCTCTAAAGCCTTAACCCGTCTATAGTGATGGTTTTTTGGTTCTCCCAAGTTGGGAGGGGCCAAAAGTTGCAAAGAAACCCATAGTTCTGTCTAACCCCTTAACCCATACCCAGAATCCAAAAAAAAACAATCTTTTCAATGTAAAGCCATAGAAAAATGGCCAATAGGGAGGTAGGAAAGGGGATACCTCCAACAGCTTCTGAAGCTTTGACGGCAGTATCTTTGCTTATACAATTCATTGAAAGTACTGATATGCCCAAAGCAACAGCTGTTGACCCCCTTCTCCCTGCTCTTGAAAGCACATTACCAGCAAGACCTATCTTGCCAACAAAATTCAGCCCTCCATCACTTTCTCCTTCAGTAGAAATTAAACAAATCTTGTGATGTAGTTACAATTTTAAATGTATTCTTCTCACAAAAAATCAACACAGCAGATACTGAAATATTGATAGCAAGTTAGAATTTTTCAACAACAAGAGGGGGACCACCCTCTAAAGCCATGTTTCCATGTTTTTAGAGGGACTAGAGAACATGCGGGCATGCCCGCCACAGGTTGACTGTTTCATACTCACCCAGAAATATCCAGATTATTGAACTAAAGCAGTTAAATTAAAACCTGGATACTTTGTTATTGTTAGCACGTGTAATTTGGTTGTGAAAACTACAATATAATAATTGGAGATCAACTGGTAAAAGGACAGATTCCATAGAGTGCCTGTATTCCCAAACGCTGCTAATTTATATTGGGTGCTAAAGGGATTTATTAGGTGACAATGAATGTCAATTAGAAACAGCAACACTGTCATGAATTCAATAGTCAAAGCAAGAGTGGATGATATGGTATATACCTTACAAAGAGGCAATCTGACATTGGGTATACAGTTGAGGTCAATCCACCAAGATATTACATAGGATGTAAATTAAAAGCAACTCAAGAAAAGAAAGGAAAATGAGATATATGAAAGTGAAAGATTGCAGGCTTAGTGTGAGATGAAAGCAAACAGAGACGGGTACGAGTAGGCCCAACAGCAGACAGAAGGCAACATAGGAAATGCCCAAAAAAAGATTCGATAGGAAATTCTCATATATGATTTGATAAATTGGGTGAAAGATTGAGAAATACAGTTGGTTTGCCGGTGGCGGAGTTGTTGAACCAGGTGGGACAGGTTACCTTTTTATAGAGTAAAAAATAAATGTATACCAAGGTGGAAATACCACATTTGGAGTCGGGTTTTGAAAAGCTCACTTTTGAGAAATGAAGTTCACCCAAATAAAAGCGTTGCAGGTCACACAAACAAAAGTGTCACAGGTAACACAAAGAAAAGAATTGTTGTTGTACAATCAAAACAAAAGAATTGTAATTTTACAATCACATGCAAACAAAAACAGAAGATTGAGGACAATCAGAATAGAAAAGTGAGAATCTAAAGTAAGGGGTCAAAAGCCAATCCGGAAAAGTCAAATGGGTTCTTTCAGGTTCTTTCCACAAGGTGAGAAAAAGCACAGTTGCGCACTAACAAAGCAGTCTGTGATTGCGTAGAGAATACAATAATGGATTGAACTTGAAAAAGGATCAAAAGTTCACTGATCATGATGCAAAATTGACCAAAGCGCAACAGGACTGGACGGTACTTACATATGCGAGTCTGTTCTTTGTATTTATATATTAGATATGTTCTATGGTTGTGGAATGTCCACCCTCTAAAGCCATGGTTTTCATATATTTAGAGGGTTTTCAATGTAAAGCCATGAATGTATGTCTATAGAGGGGTTCCTCAACAAAGACATAGCCCCTCTATACCCATAGGTTTCCCCTTCTCCCAAGGGGTATGGTTTTAGAGGGGTTTGACTGTATATGGTATGAACTTGTTGATTCAAATTAGTACCATTTTGATGTTTTGGGTGGACATCTCCATATGTTCCTTAATTATTAGGACCTTGTGAGTTGGAGATCAAGAGTCTACAAAAAAGAGTGTCCTTGGGTTATAATAATATTGCAACATAGAGATGTAAAATCTCTGACACTGCAAGTCATGAGTCTAGAGTGATCTCAATATTAGCATACAAGCACAAACAGTTATGTCGGGCTCATAACATTCCTAAGATAAAGCTTTGTTAGTTGTGTCAATAATAATCAAAATACTGATTACTAACCTTCAATGAAGTTAGCTATAGGCTGTGCTAGAACAACATTTCCTATGATGTATTTGTATAGTGACTGCATTCACCACTTTGTTACCCCACTGTCAAGTGCATAATTTTGTGTTGCATTGACTAATGCATGTAGGTGATTTTTGAGTGTTTCTGTGTAGCTGAAGGGATTTGTCCAAGCCTTAATTCTGATTGCATCCAGAGTTAACTCACTGTTAACACCAGGGTGAATCATCTTGGCTCATAAAAGGTTCAATTGATTGAGGTTTAAAGTCAAGAAAAAGTTGATCAATTTTGGACCACAATCAAAAAATTGAAACTGCAGATTAACCAAATCAAAACTGTAATTAAATATCACTTGATCAAAAGATACAAATCACAATCACGCATACCATTACAAGTCTTAACATCAACCATTCACATTCTCAACTCAAAAACCACCTCAACAATTAATATTCAAATCAAGAATTTCAACCACAATCAATAAAAGAATTGTCTATTCACTTGAAAGAACTCATGATGGACTATGTCAAGAAAAATTGATAGAATCTAGTTATATTGAAAGAAGGTAAACTAATTCATCTTTTAATCAATCAAAAATCAACCATTTCAATCTGATTTGATCATTTCAATAGTATGTGAATCAGATCAGCAATCCAGGTTTGTGATGAATACAGTCAAACCCGCGCAAATGCATACCTGCACAGCTGCATAACCCATGATGATGCATAAAAAAATCTTGAATCTTGATATGTTTTACTGCCAAATTTGACAACAGAAATGCATAACCCGCCAAATTTCATAGCAAAAGTCTTTCACCCAAATTATGCATTTGCGCGGGGTTGACTGTATTGTGATTTCCAAACACTTCCTTCTGTAGTTTTAGATCAATGAAGTACTCCAACTGGCCCATCAGACTCAATTAAACACCAGTTAACTCATCAGGAAAGGTTTGACTCCAAACAAAATTTATATTCATCTTCCATCCTCAATCTACTTTATTGATTTCAAGAACATCAGCCACAGATTGAAATTCACATTCAAATCAACCACATGTAGCCCACAAACAACCCACACAGTTATCAAAATCATTGATAGTTTGTCAAGAAGCAATATTGATCAAACCAGATTTCCATTCACAATGGAAATTACATCAAGTAATCTGTGGACATTTAGGATGGTTTTGATCTGCAACAACCCAACCCTGGCAATCAATGGTTTGCAACAGATGCAGGTGATCAAATTATAAAGATTTTGGATACAGCAAGCTGTAATTTGAGATGTTATTAAATGGTCATATCTCTTCATATCTTGACAGTTTAAGGTTTAGCTGTTCCAAAGTGTCATCCTTATTTGTTTGGTAAGATAAAATGGTAAAACATTGGGATTTAGAAGAAATTAAAGTTATAAGACATTTTCATGGTCATCTTACTATTAGTGGAGTTTATTCTTCAAGGTGTTGTCTTTCTTTTTGTTTTTTATTTTTCAAGTCTTTTTTTGAGTTATATATTTGATCAACCATAACCGTGGTGAAACTCACTCTGAGAGATATCTATATGCGAGATGAAGTGGATAGACAAGTCAAACAATAAACTAAAATTCTGCCCAAAAGCGTTGAAGCTTAAACACGGTGAAGGCCCGCAGAACTCATACATATGTAATCTCAGACCCGTCTACCGCGACTATCTTCGTCCGGGTTTTGCACCACGATTCCCGTGGTGTTCACTGTCATCACCCTGTGATACTTGATTCACTCGGTTTCACACTCCTGACCTCTCGATCGGAACCACCACAGTTGATCGAAGGACTGGCGAACTTGATGAAACCTTAAGAATTCATTCTCATCCTTCATAACCTGATTCAAGTCTATAGATACCAAGAAACTCTCAAGAAATCAAAACCCATCAACTACATAATCCGGATTTCGAAAACCACGGTGACGTGATGACCCATCATAATAACTTCAATTTACCACCAGTCTCATTACACTTACTTTCAGGTGCAGCTTCAGGTTTTGCATCATGTGTCTTACTTCAACCTTTAGATTGTTAGTGATTCTTAAACGAATTCCGTTTGAAAGTTTTTTTTTGAAATCTAATTGAAAGAAATTTGATTGGTTTTGGGTTTTACAGTGATTAAAACTAGGATGCAACAAGGTCAATCTGGAATGATACCATTACCAAGGTATTCTACATTCTTCATTACTTTGGTATAAAACAAATTTCTGTTTCTTCTTTCGTTTGATTGTCTAAGATAACTAATCTTTTGTTCATGTTTCTTTTGACTTTGAACTCTTCTTTGGTTGGGTTAATAGGTCTAATGTATTTGGCTTAACGTCTAGAGTGATTCAACAAGATGGATTAATAGGTCTTTGGCGTGGAATGACACCTACAATTGCAAGGTCAATACCAAGTTTCCTTTAAAACCAAACATTCAAGATCTGAATTCATCAAGATCGAACGTTCAAACCGATCTTACTTTGATTTTAGGAATGTACCAGGCGTAGCATTATATTTTTTTAGTTTAGCCGAATTAAGAAGGTTTATGACCACCATCCCACAACTTTCGCATCTTCATTCAAATCCTTCGAATCAGTTAACCCATTCAAATGTGACCATCTTACCAAGACTTTCAGCTGCTGGAGATTTGGCTGCTGGAATGATGGCTCGTACTGCTGTTGGGTTCTTATTGATGCCGATCACAGTGGTTAAAACTCGATTTGAAGCTAGTACATTTTATACTGTTTCCGCTTGATTGAGTATTTGTAAAGATTGTATCCTATACTGATGAATCCTTTGTGTTTTGAATCATAGTCTAGTCTCTATTCATATCAATCCATCAGATCAGCCTTCGTTGATGTAGTCAAACAAAACGGATTAAAAGGACTCTGGAGAGGCTTTGTACCCACGATGATCAGAGACGCACCCTTTGCCGGTTTATTTGTCTCAACCTACGAAAAATCTAAATCGATTCTACAATCCTCTACCACCCCATTGATCATCTCATCAAATCCGACTTTGATCCATATGATCTCTGCAACATTAGGTGCAAGTTTGGCTACATTGATTACGACTCCATTTGATTTTATTAAAACTCAACAACAATTAAAACCTAAACTTTATCTAAATTTGTTTCAATCTATTAAATTAATCTTGGATGACAATCATGCAAAGAATTGGAAATTGTTCTTTCGTGGGTCTAGTCTTAGATTAATTAGAAAAGGTTTGAGTTCGGCTATCGGATGGTCAATTTAGTTGAGTTGTTTTCTTTTACTAATTCTCAAGTTTGGAGCATCACTAATGGGTTTTTTTTGGTTTTTTTTTGGTTTATTAGTGAAGGATTGATTCGAAGATGGGCAACCAAAAAACCATAAAGGGCTTTGAATAATTTATCTTTTTTTTACATTTTTGAAAAATCCCCATCTATATATAATATCCTGTGTAGAACCAGGTAGCAAGTCTTTTATAAATGTATGATTGTATGTTAGTTTTATCAATTCTTGTTTTATCAAATATTCTTCTTGATTTCTAAACTTGATCTACATACAAAGACTTTGAGTAAGATACAAATGACAATTAAAGTCTATCGCTTTCCGACGTCTTATTCTTGACTCTTTCTTTGGCGCTTGGTCTACATATATACAAGAGATTATATTGAATGGGTGTTTTGCTATGAGTTTGATTACTATTCACTCGTTGAATTTGAAAGTATACAAAGTTTTACAACAATCCAGTTTCTGAAAAGAAAAAGGCTTTTTACATGGTTTACTAAAACAACAATTGAAAAGAAAAGAAAGATTAAGAATAAATTTGATGAATGAAATCAATGATAAACAATTTAAGGTGATTAAGTTCTTTACTAATCAAAATCAAATCAACCAAACCATTTTGAAAGGCGAGAGATTGATAAACTAAACTTTCTTCTAAATCACATGTTAAATCAAGTTGTAAATCATTTAATGATTTTAACCATCTTTGATTGACTTCATTGACTTGGATTGATAAGTTTGTTAATTTTTGATTAATTGAATCAGATGTATAAAACGGATGAACGGCGAATTCTTCGGAATTTGATTCATCATGATGATCATTTTCTGATAAGTTTGGTTGAGTAGAATTGGTGAGTCTTGGTGGTGGTGTGGATTGGTTAGTGGTCTCTTTAAAGGTAAGTTTTGATTTTTTGGGGTGATCGTCTTGGGTTTCTTCAATCATACTTCGTTTAGGATCAGTTCGATCGGATTTGTTCGTTGAAGAAGTCAATGGATGATCATCATGTTTAGTTAAATCAATCATCCCGCTCGATAAGAAATCCTTTGAATTAAACCCATTCGACATTGATTGATCATCTTGGATAGTTTTATCTTGAGATCCAATCGAATTCAAAAGTGAAATCGTTTGTTGTTTTTCTTCTTCATCATTCAAAAACGTTTCCACAAACACTTCATCTGTTACATCCAACTCATCAAACTTTTCAAAAATCTCATCCACCTTCATTTCCATTGGTTTACTATGACCATGATCTTGATGATCTCCAGAATGAAATTGTGAAAACGTGCGAGGTAAAGATTCCATTAAATCATGAATCACTTGAGATTCAATGATCATTAAACTTCCGATTTGTTTGGAATACTGATCAATGTATTCTTGGACTTCTTGTTCTAATCTTTCGATGGATCCTTCTGACAAAACTGATCGGAATAAGATTGGTAATAAATGGTATTCGATAAACCCTTTACTTGGTTGGGTTGTGTTTGGAAATAATGTTTTGGGTTTGAAAATCGAAACTAGTTTATGTAATTCTTTGAAAGATGAGTGTCGAGTGAATGGAGAAATCTTAAGAAACCAAAATAACAATACTTCAGTTTGAATGAAATCAAAAGAAATCAAAAGTTGATCATGAATCCTTCCTTACTATCAGAGTTGGCCACAAATCATTCTCTAGTACCCCATTCTTTTCTTCTTCAATAGCCAATTTAATTTCACCTTCAAGTTGAACTTTGATACTTGACCATTTCTTCTCATCAATTTCCATTGGATTCACCGTCACCACTCTTCCAAACGGTTTTCTTTCTTTCATACCGTTCTGAAGATGGTCTGGACAATATTGATTTAGGTATCTTTCATCTTCACATTCTTCACATCTTTGTTTTCTTTCACATGCATGAAACCTAGTCGATTTGCAATCCAAGGTGATCGAAGTGGTTAGTAATGGATAATGTTTTTCGAAATTTGGAAGTGTGTATAGATCAAATTTGTATTGATCTACATGAATCTAATCCATCGATCGAAAAAAGATTACCAAATCGTCCTATATTACATCTTAGAGTTTAAGTAAAGTGAATGAATGGGTTTGACTTACTAAAGTTTGAAAATGAATTGAAATCCTTTCTAATAATTCTTCCCAACCCCATGTCCAAGTATTGATAAAGAAAATCGTATCATCAGGATAAAAAGACATCAATCGAAGTGTGGAAAGAATAGCTTGTTCCTAACTCCGAAAAAGAGACAAAAAGTGGCGTCAAAACGGTTACCATTCAAACCTTAACTGAGAAGAAAAGAATACCTTTGTTAAGACGTCTTTCTTATACACCAAACCTGAAGTATCCAAATAAATATTATCCAATTTGATTCGATTATGATGATGATTGCTAAACTGATGAGCATGATTAAAGTCAAGAAAAGGAGCCAAGATTGATTCTTTGGTTAAAGATTCGATCCACCAAGGTTCAGCTCTAATATCACCGGTATATAAAACTGATTTATTCCACATTTGAATTAAAAACATGACTGAACCAGGACAATGATTAGCATCGAATAGAGTGATACAACATGTTTGATTTTCATCTGGATTTTCAGTAGGTTTTAGGATGATTTCAGTTGGTTTTCTTAATGATATAGCTTTTAAGAAAGGATGTTGTTGTAGATTTTCAAATTTATATTCTTTTGATTTCTTGGATGGTGATGTTGATTTTAAAGGATATCTTTGATTGAATGTTTTTGTATTCAAGATAGTTTCTTTGGTGATGAATGAACAGTAAATGAAAAGGTCTTGATCATTAAAAGTGTTTAAACCGTTTGTATGATCTGAATGAATATGAGATAAAAGATATAAAACTGATTTGGAATGATAAATCGATTTATAATCTTTTGTAAAGTTATCTGCTCTGATCAATCCATCGAATTCTCTAACTAAATCAAAACAAAAGAAATGGATAGTCAGTTGTATATCTTGTTTTGATTTGATTAGAACTGAACTGATTGATTGACTTACAATAACCATCAAATGTTGACATCCTATAAGGTCAAGAGTCAAACTGATCAAGAGGCGATCGATCGATTGTAGTTCAGTTTAAAGCACTGCCACATAGCACGACTTAATCAAGGGTTTCAATAGAACTTAAGGGTTAAGTCCTATTAAGTACATACATACATACATCGATAACCAAACCATTTCAATCAATCAAACGGTCAACGGTTTGCAAAGATCAACCAGAACAACAACACCTCAAGGCTCAACCATATCAACTCATTCTCATTCTCATCCTCATTCTCAGTATCAGTCTCAGTCTCAGTGAACATTCAAATCAAGTCAATCAATCTCAATGTCAAATCAACATCAAATCAAATCAAACCAACCACTCAAAATAATCGATTTAACTCAAGATCAACCAAATCAAAAAACATCTTCATCACTTCAACCTTCGACTTCGACTTCTACTTCCACTTCTACTGCTGCATCAGGATCAGGATCAGGTTTAGCTTCAACTTTTAAACTTAGACACGGTCCAAGGCAACAACAATTGGCTGCATTACAAGCTACTGCAAGAAGACAAGCTGAACAAAGATCACAACGTCAACAACAACTAACCATCTCACCACATCATCATCATCAGCTGTTTTCATCTTCTAATTCTTATTCATCTAATTCAACTCCTTCAACTTCGTCACTTTCGATTCCGCATCATTTTCAAGGACCTACTTCTTATCCACTCACTCCTTCTCCAAGATCAAATACTTTCTCTTTACCTACCTCCAATCATCCGAATCATAATCCGACCAATTCTAAATTCAATCAAGTTCATAATTCGGCTTATAAACCAGTCTGTATAGGTTTATTAAGCTCTTTGGTGTTAATGTTATATCCTTTGAAAGAATTTCAATCAGATATCATTGGTCCGGGTGGAAAACCTAGAGCTCAAACTTTACCCGTTAGACTTCGACGACTTCCTCCGAATGGTGGTAATGAGACGTTGAAGGTGCTTTGTCAGTCCTAATCTCTACAAAAACCATATCAAATCAATCAACTCAACATCATCAATCTTCAATTTCCCTTTGTCATTCGATCCCTTTGTTCTCTAAGCTGACATTTAATTCAAACCTTTCTTAGCGCCTTCTGATGAACAATTCGGAATGGTCGAACACAAGGTCGGTAACGTCATTGCACCTTTACTAGGTCCCATCGATTCGATCAGTGGAGGTCCTAGCGTAGGTGGTTGGAAAGCTCCAGAATCGGATGATGATGATGAAATTATAGAAACGGACGGTTTAGGAGGAAACAAGTTGAAACGTAGAGCACAACCACTTGGACGACAACTTTATATTGAATGTTGTGTGATCAGACGTGGCGAAAAGAATCCACTCATGTTACCATTACAACTCTTGGTTTTCTGTTCACCCGAATCGATCTCAGCCATAGGGGCTTATTTTACTCGTTCGAATGTCGTCCTCGAACATCCACTTAGCTATGATCCAGATCTGCACTTGGGATGTCCTTATCATAATCCACATTCAGCTCAACCGCGTGAAGGTATCGATCAAATTCGACAAAGACTCTTAGGTGGACCTGCCTATGGAACTTCCAATTTATTCCTAGGTTCTCGAACTCCTCAATTCAAGACTTATGATGCACATGAACAGGTCGATGCAGTCTTCAAATCGTTGGCAAGTGGTGTCGATCTAGATGAAACCGAACCGAGTGATTTGATTTCGAGTAAATTATATGCTCATCAGAAACAAGCCCTATCCTTCATGTTAGATCGTGAGACCCCAAAGGAAGTCAAACCCGAACCCAATAAAGTAATACATGATCCGGACGAACGAAAGGCTCAGCTTGATCACGATGAAGCGAATTTGGTGTGTTTATGGAAAAAGTCACGTGATTCTTATGGAAGACATATCGGATGGGTTAATGTGGTCACAGGGATCGAACAACTTGGCATTCAAACACCCAATCAGTGTCGTGGATCGTTACTTGCTGATGATATGGGTTTAGGCAAGACGATCTCGATAATCTCACTCGTGGCTACTACCCTAGTTCAAGCTCGGGCCTTTGAGCATAATCAATCTTCATCTTCATCACAGCCACCACAAGAAGGATCATCTTCATCGATCCAACAATTGAACACATCGATGTCTAATGGAGAAGATCATACGAGGTTAGCTGAAGGATCAACTTCAAATCCTAAAAAACGACCAAAAGAAACGAAGAGTTCAATTAAGAAGAAAGAAGCTACCATCGATCGAAACCGATTGATCACGATGAAATCACGAGCTACCTTGATAATCTGTCCTTTATCTACAGTTCAAAACTGGGAAAGTCAAATCGAAGAACACGTGAGGAAAATCCCATCAAAGACTTTGAAAAATTCAACTCAAGCTGGATTAAGTGTTTGTGTTTATCATGGTAACAGTCGAACGACAGATGTCAAAGTTTTAGCAGATCATGATGTAGTGATCACAACTTATTCATTATTAGGATATGAATATTCTAGACAGAATCGTAAAGAAGAAGAAGGTGCTGCTCAAGATAGTAGTGATGGTGGAATTGAAGAATTAGATGGATCTGGAAATTCGTTGACAGCAACCGAGTCAAATGAAAACAGTAAACGAAAGAGACCTCTGAAACGGAAAAGGAAGGGAGATGGACTTCCTAGTCCTTTACAGTCTATCGAATGGTTTAGAGTCGTCCTGGACGAAGCTCAGTAAGTAAGGTGACATGACTTTCAATATGTTTATCAGGGCTGATGAGCTTTTCGATTTTTCCTTTAGTATGATCAAGGAACACTCTACTATACAATCAAGAGCGGCTTGTGATCTCTTAGCCGAAAGACGAGTTTGTCTTACGGGTACACCTTTACAAAACTCACTCAACGATTTATTTTCATTAGTAGCCTTTTTAAGACTCGAACCATTTACAGATCGAGTGTTTTGGACGACTCATATTGGTACACCAGCCAAATTAGGAGATAAGTTAGGAGTCTCAAGACTGAAATTAATCATGAGACAAATCGCATTAAGAAGAACAAAGAATTCGATTGATAAGAATGGAAAACCGATTTTAAGTTTACCTACCAAACGAGATACGATTGTTTATTTAGAATTAGATGAATATGAAAAGAAATTTTATTCAACTTATCATCAACGTAGTCGAAAGAACTTTGAATTACAACAAAAAGATGAAACGGTTTTAAAGAATTATTGTTCGATTTTACAAGAATTATTAAGATTACGACAGATTTGTACACATATTGGTTTGGTGACGGATTCAGATGGGAAAAGTTTAGGAAGTAGATCAGGGAATGAGTTTATGAAGATTTTAGAAGGACAGAATCAATTGATGAAAGAAATCGAAAGTGAAGGACTTAATAAATCAAATTCGATCAAGTTGGTAAACTTGATGAGAGAAACTGGGGTAGGACAGTGTAGTGAATGTGGAGAAGAATTGATGATTGGAAATCCATCAGAAGAACTAGAAGAGATGTCTTCTTCTAGACCCAGTAAACGACCTAATAAGAAGAAAGCCAAAAGTAATCTTGAAGAAATTGATTCATCATGTGGTGGTGGTGGGACAGCTAATAATAATTTGAAATCGATCGTTGTGACTAGATGTCAACATTTGTTTTGTGTAAGATGTTTTAGAGAAGAGGTTTGTCCAGAATGGCCATTATTAAAAGGATCAGCAGAATGTACAGTATGTTTTCAAGTCTTGAAAGATCCAATTAAAGATATCATTGAAGTGACCGATTTAAAACTTGAAGAACCTCAACCTCAAAAATCAGAAACTTCATCATCATCAAAAGCAAAAGGAAAAGGGAAAGCAAAAGGAGGGGATCATGAAACCGAAAAGAATGAGTATGGTCATAGTACTAAAGTTCGACATTTGATTTGTGATTTGTTACCGTTTAGTCAAGCTAATCCAGCTTCGATGAATTATGATCCATTGAACATGATCTTTGATGTTCAAGACCGGCATGATGAAGAAGAGGATCCTGAGCATGATTATAAAGCTTGTAAAGGATCAGTGGTGAAGAGTGTAGTCTTTAGTCAATGGACTAAGATGTTAGACAGGTCTGTTTTGAACATCATCTTCCATCTTCTTAATCGAAAGCCAAAATCCTAATGAAGTTTTTTTCTTTCTTTCTCTTTCTTTCTTTTTCTCTTAGGATTGGAGACGCACTAGATGAATTTAATATTGGATATGGTAGATTAGATGGAACGATGAGTCGACCTGAAAGAAACAAAGCCATGGAAGATCTCAAGACCGATCCGAAGTGTGAAGTGTTATTAGTGAGCCTAAGAGCCGGTGGGGTAGGATTAAACTTGACGTGTGCTCAACGAGTTTATTTAATGGTAAGTGAATTGGTAAAGGATTCGGTTGAGATTTGTAGAGGATTGATGTGGTGATTTTGATTTTCTTTGACACTGGGAATGGGATGAACGGGTTTGGTTGGTTAGGAACCATTTTGGAATCCTGCGGTTGAGAATCAGGCGGTCGATCGGGTTCATAGGCTTGGACAAACTAAACCGGTTCGAATGATTCGGTATATTATTGCTGGATCAGTTGAACAGAATATGTTAGAAGTGAGTAAAGAAAGCTTACATGAAGAGGTTCCGTTGAATGTGTTTTTTCTTGTTGATTGATTTGGTGATTTGGTGATTTGGTTCGATGATAGATTCAAAAACGAAAAACTGAACTTGCAAAGTAAGTAAAAGTTGTCTTGAGATGATTGTATTTTTTTTTGGAAAGATTTTGATGTTTTTTTTTTGGATTCTGTGCACTTTCTTAGTATGAGTTTAGGTCAAACTTTAAGTAAGGCTGAATTGGCTAAACGTAGAGTTGAAGATTTAAGTATCTTGTTTAAAGATAATATGAAGGGTGATAAGAATGAAGGTGTTGAAGTTGTTAAAGAAGAAGTTAAAGAAGAAGTTAAAGAAGAAGTTAAAGAAGAACTTTGAAAGCTGAAAGTTTTAGTAGAAAGGTATAGAAGAAGGGTTTTTTTTCTTGGATTTTTTTTTGGGTTTGGGGTTTTTGGATTTTTGGATTTGGATCTGGGTTTGGTTTTTTTGGGGGGGGAGAAGGGAAAAAAGAAGGAATCAGTTTAAAAGTTCAAAAAGTTAAGTTTGAGAATGTTTTTTTTACAAAAGTCTTTAGAAAGGTATTTTTCAAGTTATTATTTGAATGGTTTTTTATATATCTTATTATAACATCAACATATATATATATATATTGGATTGGGACGGGAGAAGGGAGAAAGGGAGAAAGGGAAAATCAATGAATTTATTTTATACTTATTTTTTTGGTTTTGCTTGCTTGATTGTTATTTTTTGAAGATATAATTTAATGATTCATTTCTACATATATAGATTTTCTTTTTTTCTTCATTCAATTTGTTAAAATGTGTTTTTGTTTTTCTTCATAAAAAAAACCAATCTTGATTTGTTTTTTTATCTTGATTTGTTTGTTTTTTTGTTTATAAGAAATATAATTTTTGAGGATTTTTTGGTTGGGAATTGGGTTTGGTTTTGAGGATTGGATGGGTGGATTGGAGTTTTTATTGGTTTATTGATTGATGTGGTATGGATTATGAAAATTCTGATTTGATTAGAGAATCATTTGAATGAAGTTTTAATTAGGTTTCTGTGGACTTTCTTGGTGATTGGATTTCAACTGAGGCTGATCTGCAATGATTTTAAACAGAACCACCTGGCAACTGTAGCAAAAACAAAAGTGGACCATTCCCTTTGAATATGTAGAGAAGTTCCTACCTCTCATGGAGTGATCTTAATCTAGATGGAATGTGAAACTGATCACGGAGACTTCTGTGACAGTGACACAAGGGTAGATTTTTTTGTTACTGAACTGAAGCTTTTGTCTGAGGAAAGATGAGAGACCTGGAAGTTGTAGTGGTAGTGTCTCTATTCTTTGATCAGCAGTTGAGGGGCCCAATGGCAATAATTGCCTCAGAGGTTTTTCATTGACTGCTCTTTTTTCCTTGAATTGCACAAAGCCATTTTTTTTGGTGGGTAGGAGAATTCAAGTGCTTAGTATATTCTGCCATTGTTTGGTTACCAGAAAGAGAGCTGATATAGCAGGTAACCTCATTTGTTGCCACATATGATGATTGATCAGAAGCTTATCTTATCTGAAAGGTGTTGTTGCAAATGTAAAATTTCATATTGAAATCACACTTGTACATGAAAGCTCCTTCACTGTATTTCAAATTTAGAATCAATTTGATGATTAATTTATACTTTTGCATTTTCCATATATCTATGTACTCATCATCTTTCAACTTTTGATGATTTTGATCATCATTTATCAAATGATTCATGAAATTCACAGATCAGATGCCTCGCATCTCAGGGCATCTGATCAAAACACAACATGTGTGAATATACTCTAATGGCGCAGGCTAGTGATAGAGAACACCAGGCGGCTTAAAGATAACAGATTTAATTGGGTATAAACAATCAGAGTGATTTGTCTTGTCTAATTTCAAGAAAAAAAGATAGAGTACCACTTGGATGACGAAATGATGATCATAAATCATCATCAAAAGAATAAACCAAAAATGAAAATATGATTTCCAAAAACCCAAAAAGGAAAAAAAATCCATAAAAAAACATCAAATCTAATGACCCACCGACCCACCCCCCAAAAACCTCGTTTTAATGATTAACCAAACCGATTTTTTAACATCTTTCAATCGTTTTGTTTTCAATTGATGATGATGATGATTTCTTATTCCAAATCTTAATGACTTCTTGGTTTAAACTTTCAGCTAATTTAAATTCTTTTAACCTTTTTCTAATCTCAATTAATCCTTTCTCAAAATCAAAATCATTTTTAAGATCGATTGATTGAATGTTTCTTTCATTTTCATTCACCATAATCTTATGATCATCTTTAAAATCTTCTTGATGATTAGTAGTTGAATAATTTTGAATTAAACTTTCCATCTTATTAATCTTAATTTCTAATTTCTTCTTAATCCTTAATAAAATCTTTAACAATGATGGTTTTTTCCTAAACTTTTTCTTATTAAAATTATACTCAAGTTTATTAATCAATTTCGTCATATCTTCTTTTTGATGAAAATACCAATTGATTTCTTCTTCATGAATGAAATCTTCAAATCCTCCAAGATTCATCATCTCCCTAGGTTCATCCTTTTGAGGTGGGTTTACTAAATCTTCTTCTTTTATCCAACTTTCAATCAATCTGCTTTGTTTGAAAACCTTTAAAATCTCTTCATGTGCTTCAATCGGTTCATTTAATTTCATCAAAGATTCCACAATCATCGTTAAATAATCAATCCCACATGCTTCATTCCAATAAACATCATGTCCAAACCGATTAATCAAATCTAAATGTAATTCTTTCACCAAAAAGAAATTCCCAACAGATGCTGCTGCTCTTGCTGCTCTTAAATACGCTCTAGGTCCATGATCGTCTTCTTGATCTTGGATTTTTAAAGTTGTATTATTGAGTTCTTGTTGATCAAGAAGTCGTTGAGAAAAAGAAAGTAGAATCGATTTAGGTACTCGGATGGCCACTAAACCTCCTAAGACTAAACTGATCAATAAACCTGTTAAAACTAATCTATAACCAAATTTGATTTCACGTTCTAAAAGATTGAGTAATCCGATCAAATCGACTTCAATTAATTTTGTCCAAATCAAACCGATCAAATGATTACTTCTCAAATTCAATTCTCGATCTATAATCGATTCTCTTATTAATTTACGTATTGATTCTGATGAAGATCCTATCATAGATTCGATTCGACTTAATTCTGATATCATCATGCTTGATGGTTTCTTCTTCAAACGTTCATCTTGATTCGAATCTGATGAATTGTATACCATATTCAAAAGTGTTTCTAATTGATGATAACCTAATTCAGGATGATTCCTATCGATAGTCAAGATGGATTGATTTTTAAAAATATCAAAAGGTTCATCAGATAGGTTTAAATCGGTTTGAAAACTATTCTGAATGTTGAAATGTATCTTTTTTTCTAACCATTCTCTCATATACCTCGTATACTTTTCTAATTCGAGTTCTTCAATTAAATTCGATTCTTGATTAGACTGATATAAATCATTTAATCTAATTAATACATTTCCGACTTGAATGGGATCAATCAAGCCTTTATCGCAATTAGAATCAATCAAGGCATCTAACCAAGCTCTAAGGATATTTTGCATACTCATCAAACTTTGATCAGTTTCTTGAACTTCAACCAATTTCAAAACTTCATCTAAACCTAAAATCTCGTATTTTAACTTAAGGATTGAATGAGATTGACTAATTCCAATTCTTGAGACTCTATCTTCCGATGCTTGAATCAATTCATGTAACTTTTGGATTTGTTGAACTTGATTCAAATCAGTAGATTGTTTAATCTTGATGATTTTAGCCATCAAGAATTGATTTAAACATTCATCAGACCAAACCGATCCATCTAATCCAAAATCATTTTCGATCTTTAAAACTAATTCGATTTGATTCAACTTTAAATAAATCAATAACAATTTCTCCCAAACCAATTGATTGACTTTAAATAAATTAGGTGGTAAATTAGATTTCAATGAATGATTCGAAAAACCCGGTTGGGAATCGGATCGGTTGTTGATGAGTTTAAAGACTTGATGACCTAATGAATCGAAATCAAACATATTTAAATAATTTAAGGCTCTATCAAACCTACCCCATTTAATTAAGATTTCAATAAACTCTTGTACAATCGATTCAGATCCGATTGGATAATTTAAAACATGTAATGATTTCATAATCCGTCTCATCAATCCCATTCCTTGTCCTAATCTTGATAAAGATTTAAATATCTTTGAAATCGAAAGTAATGTTGAACGTCCATTCTTTAAATTAAAGGTCGTATGAAGATGTTTTGAATAAAGTTCTTTGAATGCTGAATAATTGTTTTGGTTTAAATACTTTATTAAGGTTTCTGTGATCGTATTTAAGGTGAGGTCTTGATGATAATTAATGATGGAAGTAGAAGTAGAAGTAGAAGTGGATTGAAGAATTGGTAATGATGGTGAATTGGATTTTAAAGATAATGATGGACTTGTTGGCTTTTCTTGATATGCTTGAAATGTATTAAGATCTGAATGAGAAATGATGATGAATTAGTCCATGAAATGAAAAGTAGAAACATCACAAATCAACTTACTAGGTTGTTCGAGTTGTTGATGTAAATGCTGGTACTGATGCTGATGCTGATGATAATGTTGATGAGATGGTATTGTTTTTGTAGAAATGAATTGAATAAGATGAAGTGAGTTGAATTTGATTGGACCATTCTTGATCATCTTCCTTCAAGTGAAGTTTCCTTTGTGAGTTTGAATTCCAGTTTGGATTCTGTCACTCTGAGGTGTTCTTGGTGAGTTTGATTTTCCTAGGATCCGTATGAAGTTTTGCTTTCTTGGTTTTCTGGAACTTTTCCTCGAAACTGGTCTGACAAGTTTTCCGTCCTTGTTTTGGTTGGTTTGATGGTTTGGTTTGATGAGTTTTCTGATAAATTTTGATCACCGAAGAAATATCCGAATTGGAACCTTCTCGGCCCCAAGTCTCTTCGGGTCGGATCGGATCGGATCTTTGCATCACTTTGAATTCTGCCATCATTCTTGACTTTTCACCATCCAACTTATTTCCATCTGTTCCATCAACTTGAAGGAATCCTCACCACAAAGATTACGAAACCTGGAGATTTACCCAAGAAACCTTCAAACCATCAAAAAAACTAAACTCCTTGAATCAATGTCAACTACATTTAAATCACTTTCAAGAAGAGAAGAAGACGAATTTCAAAAACAATCTAAACTAATCGCATTAAAATCTTGTGATAAATTAGTATCAGGTCAATCTTTTTTCAAATCAAAAACAAATTCCTTCATTTTAACCATACAATAGGGTTTCTTTTTTTCGATGAAGATCTTGATTGATTTTTTTCCTTTTGGTTTTTGGTGGTCTTTTGGAAAATGGAATCATATAGAATTTGCAAATTGTTCAACCAATCGAACGTTTTCGGTTGTTTGGTCTTGTCGTTCACAATGGAAATCATTACAATCATGTTTAAGAACAGAGTAAGTCAGTCCAAACCTTTCTTTCAAATCTTTTTCCCACACAGAAACCCTTGATGATATCTCTCAAACCGCTTACAATATTTTTCTAATTTTCTTTGGTTTTGGATTAAATAGAATGAGTGAAGAAAAATTAGATCAAAAACGATTAGACTTCATTCAAAACCGTCAATCATTACAAGTACCATATCAAAAATTATAATTCAAAAAAATGAATCATTTATTAGAGAAACTCATTTGTAAAAACAAACTTCTTGTGTATTCCATTCAATGATAAAAATGATTTGCATTCTGATATCTTGATGAGGAAGACAAAATGAATATAAAAAAACGGCAAATAAATGATATATATTGTAAAATAATATTTAAATTCTTTCAACCAAAAAACAAAACCCTATACAAAAAAAATCAATACCCACAAGAAAATCTAAATCAAAGAGAACCCCCCAATGGTTAGAAAGCTTGATTCTTCAATAAACGTTCACCTAATGAACTCTTAAGTAATTCATTAGCTTTAAAACTACTTCTAACCAATGGTCCACTAGCCACATATAAGAATCCCATCTCTTCTGCAATCTGCTTCCATTTCTCAAATCGATCAGGTGTAATATATTCAGTAACTTTCATATGTCGTTTGGTTGGTCTCATATATTGACCAAATGTCACGACATCTACATCAATCTTTCTTAATTCTAAAACCCCCCAAAAAAAACCACCGAAACCAAAATGATAAGTAAACGTTAAGAAAACATATTGGAAAGCGTTGGATGTTTGCTTACCTCTAAGAGTTTCAAGTATCTCTTCATCTTCTTCTCCTAATCCTAACATCAAACTAGTCTTAGTGATCAATCCATTAGGACCAAACTGTTTAGCAAAGCTTAAAGTCTTTAAAGATTGTTGAAAGTTTGCTCTACGATCTCTTACTGAAGGAGTCAATCTTTCAACCGTTTCTAAATTATGTGCAAAGACATCTAAACCTGAATTAGCAATTAAAGTAGTAGATGTTAATTGGTTTGGACCGGCAAAGTCGGGCGTTAGAGCTTCTAGTAAGATTTGTGGCGCTCTGGTAATTGAGAAAAAAATGGTTTGGTTTAGTGAATGATTAGGATGGGGTTTGGGATTCGGGGGTTTGGACTTACTTTGATTTGACTCTTTGGATGGTTTCTGCAATATGATGAGCTCCACCATCAGGTAAATCTGTGAAAATCAAACCGATCAATCATGGATCAAAAAAGTTTAAAGAAAAGAATATAAAACTAACCATCTCTATCTACACTTGTCATGACAATATAACCTACTCCCCATTTACTGATCGCTTCAGCTGTGTTTTCAGGTTCGTTCGGATCAAGTGGAGGAGGTCGATTAGAAGTTTTAATAGCACAGAATCTACAAGCTCTAGTACAAGTATCACCCATTAACTATTTTAAATTTCACAAAACAAAAACCAAATTAACTTAAATCAACATTAGTTTTTCAAAAGAATCTTGAATCGAAAAAAGACTGACCATGATTGTAGCAGTAGCTTCACCTTTGTCTCCACCCCAACATTGACCAATATTAGGACACCTAGCTTCTTCACAAACTGTATGTAATCCTAAACCTCTTAAATCTGATTTGATTTTATTATATGAAGGTGAACTTGGGATTTCGGTTTTTAAAAAACTAGGTAATCTTTGATGTACTTTAGGAATCGAAGTTGATGGGATTGGGTTTGGATTTAGTTTTACAAAGTCTTGGAATGTTAAACCGTCTTTTGGTAGGCTTGATGATGAGGAAGTTGAGGATGAGGAGGTGATTGAATGGGTTGAGAAACGTTTGTAGAGTGATTGGGGTTTGATGTTGAGCTTGATAAGAATGATGTGTGAGTATGATGAGGTTGAGATTTTGAAAAGAACTGGTTGAGACTTACGTTCTGTTTGATAGAATTGATGAGATGATGATGATGAGAAGTTGAAGTTGATAACATCTTGCTTTCTTCGATTTGATTTGATTTGGTCGATAAGAAGGAAAGAAAGAAAGAAGAAACTTGAATAGTGCAATTTAATTTTCGAGTAGATAGCAAACTATCGGATCGGATATCACAGCCGGGTACAACTGTAAGGATTTCTTGTGATTTGACCTCAAAGACAACCAGACCAGCTCATCGAACCAACAAACAAACTATATATCATTCATCCATCAAACTACCTCAACCATACCAAGCAAACACCAAATCAATCAATCAACCAACCAACCAGCATTGAAGTCTCTTTCTCATCATGTCAACTCAATTTGCCACAGTCACCTTGATTGTTGGAATGTTAGCAACCGGTACATCCCAAGATCTTCTCCCTCAAATCAAATACCAAACTCATTTGTCCCTTATATTCCTTCCCATCCTAATCTACTCACCAAAGGTTGCTCAAACAGTCTCTGGTCAAAGTTTCAAGACAAACAATGTGTAGAGTAAGTTCAAACGGTCATTTGTTTCAAACCAATCCGACCCACCACACTCAACATTTTTCCATGCCTCTCTTAATCCTGTAGAAACTGTCAAAACCCAGACCCTTCAACTCATCAACACTTTGAACAACCAGTATGGCAAACCCTCAACATGTTTGCCGGCGAAAGTTTATGTTTGATTGCATTTTATCTAATCAAATACACATTCAAAGCCAGCAAACCAATCTCACTTCATGATTACCAACCTATTCCAAGACATTCAGAAGAAAGTCAACCCAGAGGATCTGAAGATCATCCTATCATTTCAGATTCATTAATCCAACCTATTCATTTAAATTCGGATGATCCATCGAATAATGATCAAACCCCTTTAGCTGTTCATGGTCCTACTCCTAATCCGATCGTAACTTCTTTAGAACCTAATCAACTTACTGTGATGTCTTCTCAACCTGAAACGTTTCAACTCATAGGGATCCAGAAAATGATCTTTTGGTTACCTACGATCTTTGATATTTGTGGTACAACTGTTAGTGATCATCATCAATCTGACTCATCTAAATCGATTCAAACCATTCATGATCTTTGTTTTTTTTTCGTTGGGGATTCTTTTCTTTAGTTAATGAACGTCGGTTTATTATTTGTTCCAGTTTCGGTTTTTCAAATGATCAGAGGTGCCTTACCACTTTGGGTAGCATTCTTTTCGGTTATTTTTCTTAAACGAACCTTTAAAGCTCATAAATGGTTAAGTTTATTGATCATCACTTTTGGAGTCGCTCTTGTCGGATTTGCTGGTTCGTTACAGTCTAAAGAGAAAACTGAGATGAAAAGTTTAGGTGCAGATGATGGAACGAAAACTGTACTGGGAATCTTTTTGATTTTCTTTGCTCAAGTTTTGTAAGTCTTTTTTAAACCGCTTTTTTGTCAACAAATCATTCAAATCTTATTGATGAATGGATTTTTTTTCCTTTAGTTCGGCAAGTCAATTTGTAGTTGAAGAAAAGATTATGACAAAGTATGAAGTACCTCCATTAGAAGCTGTTGGATTAGAAGGCATCTTTGGTCTCTTTACTACTGTGATAGCTATTCCAGTCTTACATATCTTTATTGGATCTAAACCGGCCGGTCGAAAAGGTTATTTCGATGCCAACGAAGGATTTCATCAAATCATTTCAAATTCTCAAATCCTTTGGTCTTCATTAGCCATAGCGATTAGTATTTCAATGTTTAATTTTTGTGGACTAGCAGTTACTAAACATATTTCGGCAACTGTTCGATCGGTGATTGATACTTGTAGATCGATTGGGATTTGGATGGTTTCTATTGGCTTGGGTTGGGAAGTCTTTAATGGATTACAACTCTTAGGGTTCTTGATCTTGATCTTGGGTACATTTTTGTTTAATGAGATTTGGGTTTATCCGATTTGGTTTTTAAATTTTTTGGAAACTGTCTTTGGTTTTGAACTTGATGCTCCTCAACATCATCAACGTGATCAAAGGTTGGATTGACGTGTCGTGATTTTGTACTCTTTTTTGTTTTTCGTTTTTTTGGTTTGTTGTACTTTTTAGTTTTTTTTTTGATCTCTTTACATATCTTATCGTTTGTTGTAATGCAACCCATTTAGTTTTTAAAAGCAACCATTAAAGACAAACTGTGCATTAAAACTATTTTTCTTCAAATATGAAGAATTCAACTTTCACAACCGCGCCTACAACGCTACAAGCCCAGGAAGATTACGAGACTTCAAGGATACGATTGAATGAGTGGAACTCAAAGTTCAAGACCGGCTTGTGTTGACCATTTTGACTGTTTTACTGGAAAATCTGGAATTCCAGCCAGCTACTGCTATATACAGTCGTTCTCAGAAATGTTGGAAAAATCCAACATCTCGAGCTGAGGTCGTGGTCCCGAGGAGGTGACTTTTTCATGACATGTGTCACGGAAAAGTCATGGCAGCTGTCGAGTGGAGATCAGTGTCCCTTTCACCAACCTCAACTCCCTTGTGTCCTCTCCATGCCATCCTTCCTCTGATCCTCAACTCGTGTTACAATCCCTTAACCATGAAATCATACGTTTTCACCGTTTTTCTGAAGAGATCAGTCCGTTAGCCTGGCCATTGGCAAGATAGGTGTGTGGTCATCGAGGTATGATGGAAAGTAAACGAATTTTCATCTTGAGATACCTGTCAAAATCAAAGTTTTTGTCAGTGTTTGTATCTGCGTGTCCCTGCTCAGCGCACGGACCCCGAGCTCAGCTCGAGATTTTGCATTTTTCCAACATTTCTGAGAACGACTGTACAGTGATTCGAGATTAGCTTGACCAAATCTCGAGTTTTTTTTTTTTTGCCAATACAGGCAATTTTATAAGCATAGCCTTCAAACGGGTCAGGCTAATCAGCCTGCCGCGTCGTGAGCAATAGCAGCCCTGTGCAAACCTACTGACCAGCGCGGGCCGCTGGCCGCTGGCCAGTACAGCTGACACCATAGGTATATGTAATTACAGATCCGTCAACGCAGTCACATTTCAATGTGCCCGATCCAATGTCCCGTGTATTGTGATCTCCCCAAATGAACTGACGGTTGCCATGCACTCCCCTTCTGGCGAAGGTGGCAAAGGTGGAAATACAACAAAGATTACCACAGGCCCATGGAGAGCCGTCATCGGGTGTGCGCCGTCATTCCTCTTTAAAAAATCCGCGGAAAGATTGACGAATGATATGAGCTGGCTCAACGTTAATTCCTGATAGGTATCAGGGTATAATGTGGCCAGCCGTGACATAAGGACTTTGACAAGCATTATGTGCGGAAGTTGAAGCTGAAGATTATATGAATAGGGTCCAAAGTGATGAGTACGAGAACGACAGAATCACTTTTATGGAAGGCGGATACGAAGTGCTACGAGGTGATTTGCTTAAGATTAAATAAAAGCAAGACCAGTTCTGTCTGTAGCCCAGCTGGTACAAAAAGCTTCAAACAAAAGGTTTGAGAACAATGAAATCGAATCAGAGCGGAGATGAATTGTGTCATATGCTGAGATTCAGATTTCACAAAACAGTTTTCAGTTTGTACTCAATGTTTTCTCTTTGGGTGTACGTGCTTCTAAAGGATGTGTCCCCGAGTAGACATTTATAATTTTAATGTTCTATCATCGGCGAGCAATTCCTATTGGTTGGAGTGCTCCTTCATTTGTGTTGTGACGGGCAAGACCAAATGGAACGTTTGTTTTTGAACGTTTGTTTTTATTTTGCATGAAGTCACATCGCATTGTGTGCGTTTGACAAAAGTTTCAATATGGTGTAGTGAGGTATAGTATGGGGATTTGAAAATGTGATTATAACTGATTGAATGGACATTGGATGAGGACGATTTAGGAAGGTTTGGTGCGGTTTGGTGTTGCTATGGACTGAATTTGTTATTTGTTGTGTATCCGACAGTTTGGCAGATGGAGGCGTGTGACACGCAGGGATATTCAAATACATGTGAAATGCCCCTGTACATCGTGTGAAATGACCAGCGGCTGGCCAATCTCGCTGGCCGGCCAGAAGGGTTGCACAAGGCTTCGGTTTCTCTGGCCGCGTCAGACCAGGGATGCAGGTTTGAGCAACTCACGCTCACAATCGGGATGCGGGGTCCGAGGGACTCATTTTGAGTACCGACTCATCTACGGACAGTTAGAGTACAAAACTCTAACTGTACCTAGGGTTAGGCGTGCCTTGAGGACGGGACTCAAAACAGGCTTGTCCGCGAGTCTTTGGCCAATGGCACGACTCAGTAAGTTTCCAGACTCACTTATCCTCCTGCTCACTCAAAGCAGGAGGATAAGTCCTCGGTGTGCGAGGACTCATTACTCATATGAGCACTCACACACCGGCGGGGATTTTGATGCCCCTTGAACATCAAGGGGCAGACTTGGGTTTTTTCCTCGGATTGCTCACTCTCACTGTACCACCAACGTGTTGTAAATGGAAACAACAACAACAGGGAATCATTTATTTCTGGCTCATCACAAATGTATTTACGAATCTTTTCATAAGTTGTATAATATAAGGCTGGCAGGATTTTTCTTAAGTTAAGATTGAAAGGCCACCACAATTACTCCTCTAAATCCATCGAAGCATCATCATTGGTGAGCCAGTGCCTGATTAGCACAAGATGACAGATGATGTCGGTGTGGAGACGGCCTCTGGAAGGCACTGCTATATTACCGGATATCGAAAAAACTCGCTCAACTGAGGCACCAGAGGCAGGAATGGTGAGGTGCTGGAGAGCAATTTTGGATAAAGTAGGAAGCGCGCCAGGCTTGGCCATACGCTGAAACATAGGGCGATGTCAGGAAAAGCACATGAGATAAGTTATATTCAAGATATGAAAACTTACCGTCCAGTATTGGCCCACACTCTCATCAGGCAGGAGCGGCTCCTTTCCAGAACAGTAACGGTAGACTTCATCCAGTTCTTGGGTGGAATCGTTGATCGGGGCATTCGATTGGCTGCCCAACAAGGAGTAAATCGCCTGAAGTTTGCTGGCTACAGGGCGACGGTCAGCTGGAGGTGGTGGTCCTTTGTCACGGGCACTTTCGGTAGGGCTGGGCTTCCAGAGGTCATATTCTTCACGGAGGTACTTCTTCGCATGAGCTTCGACTTCTTCATGATCGTGAAATACAGAATTGCGATTGTAGGGATCAAGGACGGTGGCCACCAAGGTCTGAACATTCGACTCCTCACGTTCCATATACTTCACTAACTTGTCTTCCGCGCGTTTGCAAGCGCGGCCCCAAGCACCAGGCACGGTCTGGTGCTTCCGCAGTACCTTCTGAAGAGCCCACATAGTCGGCAGGACCCATTGCTTGGTGGGTTCGTTTGACTGGAAAACTTGGGTCGCGGACTCGAACATTTCGAGGACTGGTCGCATGTATTCGATCAATGCCCAGTCTGATTGAGAGATGGTGAATTTGGCTCGTTTAGGGTCTGAAGAAGTGTACAGTTGAATTGACTTCTTCAGGGCGAGAGTGCGTTGGACCTGACAAATACCAGAAAGTAAACATGGTCAAATTGGGAGATGAACTTGGTAAGTCGGAGAGTTTCAAAATACTTACGACGTAATAAAAGTAATTCCATCGAGTCGTAGGGCAGCTAAGAGGCAGTAGAGGAGGGTCTTGGACGCTATCGCGAATCGTGATGTAGCACTCAAGTTCTAAGGGACTCTTGCGTATGTGCGTATCCAAAGCTCGGATACGGCTCACAACAGTCGATTTCTTCTTTTGATTGCCGCCAGGAGCAGAGGAGGGCTGGTCACTGACGGTTTCGGCGAATGGCTCCTGAGTAAAATCAAATACTTGATAATCGTTTTGAGTGACACCGTGAACGTCCTGAGATGATTGATCAATTGAAGAACCAGCCCCTGGGGCATCGTCATCCGTCATTGGGAGTTCGTCAGGCTCAAAAGTCGCTTGAGGTTCGGCCAATCCCGTGGTCTCATAAGCTTGGATATTGGCCTCAGTTAACTCTCCCATTCCTTCCAGAAAGTCCTTCGCGACGAGGTTGATGACATGACACATACACCCATGGAACCGAGAATCAAAGGGCCAATGGATGCCTATCTCCCTGTATCGGTCTCCCAAAATACGAACCATAGCACGATTAGAAGAGGCGTTGTCTCCCGTCACGGAGAAATGGTTTCGCAATGCCCCAACGTGTTCGAGGGATTCCCAATAGACCTGGGCCAACTTTTCGCCTGTGTGGTTCCCAGCCAAAGTCTGGCATACGACACATGAAAACAAAGAAAGATCAGCACACATGAAATGTCCACCGCTGTATATATAAATTAAATGTACCTTGAATGCGAGCAGTCGACGACAGAAAAGACCCTGAGAGTTAAAGAAAAAACCATTGATTGCCATGTAAGTGTGAGAAAAATCGGCCGAAGTCCAGCAGTCGGTTGCCGTCGATATTGAACCAGGGACTCGCGCAATTTCGGCAATGAGTTTCTTTTCCAAGTCCAAGAAAAGAGCTTCGGAGTCCGCCTTAATTGACATCCGACCAGGAAATCGAAAACCTGGGCAAATAGCTCGCAGGGCCGACTGCATCAATTCACCTTCAAATATCGAGAACGGCAGATTCTTGCTGATAACCGCCCCAACGAGCAGAGTTCGAAGCTGCTTGTATCGTTCAGCAGCGACACCAGGGGCCTCGTTGGGGGCGATACTGCCTGGCAGGCGATTCATCCAGGCATCAGGTAGGCTGGGACACTTGCGACGGTGTTTGTGTAGACCTGAGTTGGGACGTCCAGTGATCTGGACGTCCATCCTGTGAAATCGCATAGTGAAATCACATAGTCAGTAACAATCATGTGACTGAAATGGGAATGACCAGCTTCAAGTACTCACGGACAATGGAGGCAGGAGTACCACTTCGAGTGATCCCCGTTGGCCGCGTCAGGCAAAGCTTTAGGGTCCTGATACAACAATATCGATATTCATAAGGTTCTCTTTGGAATCGTAACTGAGACATTCATTCAAATGCTTACATCATAATAAAGGTACACATCTGAACGGTGTTTGCCTGCGTTCGAAACGGTGTCATCGCCCTCTTCGTTGTCGTGAATTGTGATGCGTGTGTTTTGGGACAGGGACAACACTCCAGTA